GAGCCTTGTTGGTCTCGCCACGCGACCCAATACGCATCATGCCGTACCTAATTTAAGGGGCCTCAACTCCTGCGCCGAGGAACGTCTGGGATTCCCCTTGTCGATAAAAAGTACCCTCTCCACTTCGCCCTGCTATTCTGTTCTTCGGTTCCGCCCGATCGCGGCAAGGTTCACGATCCTACGGAGCACCCACGGTGCTAGTATACCTATCTAAGGCAGCGTGTGATAACGGGAACCACGGGACGGATTGCAACTACACTACTGTATAGTAGCCTACTAACGGATCAATAGAGTGCGCTCGGTATACGAAAGAAAGGCTTATATCGTAGTGAGGGCGGAGGAGAAGTGCTCGTTACCGTCGTATCTGTTGTCGTCTTGACGCTATGTCAAGATCGATGGTGATTGATCTTTATCTGGTGTTCTATTAGCTGGGAATCCCCAGATCAGATAAGGATTCACCGTGAGGCTTGGCATACCTATCATGACATTTACAACTGATAGCGTATACATACCTAATAGGTAGTACTATCTAGTGACACCATGGCTTCTACATACATAAAATCCCACGTTTTCCCAGCTAGGCGCGTCGCATCGAAATGAATGAAAACTTATTCGCGGAAGCACATAGTGGAAGATATACTGCAAAGCCTCGATTACTGTATCCTTGCCTAGAAGGGGCGCAATACCAAGACATGCCCTCACCCAGATATCCCATCTCCCCCGGTCCTTCAGAAGAAGCAGTCTTTGGTTCGTAGGTAACTTCCCCGAGTGCGACCTCTCACAGCCCTAGACGACTACATCAAGAGGGGAAATGGCGGTGACATCAGCAGCATATTCATCTGTCTCGTGCCCCCAGAGAGGGGAAGCGTGAAACGGCGAATAGCTGAGGGGTGAGAGGGGACGCGTAGGAAGCCACGCATGCGCATGGCGTATTGTCGTGGCTACAGAAGCACGTTTTCTCAAATACTTGGATAATGGCAGCCTACACTCCTACGACACCTAAACATTTCGGTAGATCTGGGAGTCGAGAGAATAAATTGTACCTGCATGGCAAGGTTTATGTAGAGAGCATGATCTGACACGTACCATTTTCATAGCCGACGTCACACAGCATCAACGTCATCTCAAATGTTGGTGATACGGTTTGTTTCCATGCATATGGGGGACGAACTTCCAAGCCGATGAGACCCGGAAACGCAATCGCGTGGCACAGATTGGGTCGGTCCGGTCAGTTATGTGCTCGGTCTTGTGGTTTGTTGTGCTATCAAAAATATCGTATGTTGGAGTCTTCTGGTTGAATCTTCGATGTGTAGCTATAAGTGTGGATGTGGCACGACGTGCGTCTCCTTTATCTACCATCTATCTAGTCAATACCGCGTGGGCATTAACCTGAACGGATAGCAGAAATCCGGGAACCTAAGCTCGTCGCATTGGGTAAGCCGCTAGGTATCGAATTCAAATACATAAAGAGGCTGGAGCGAGAAAGGGAGGCCGACCTTCAGCAACTAGGATCATAGATATGATTATTGGTACGGTAACAACACCTTGTCTGTAATCCGTCTCTCAGGCTGCAGGTTACACATCTTGTTATATACCGGTCCGCTGCCTAGCAATATTTATCACGCTTCGATAGCATCAAGCTACCACTAATTTTACTAAGGTATGATATAACGCAACGAAATGTCCGTAGGTAGGATTAGAGTACTTCACGTGTAAATACGAGGATAAGGTAAACGTAGCTAGAGCGCTGGAGTAGGTCAACATAGACCATATCCAGACCATCTCAAGCTTCCTAATAAACCTCTACTTTTGGTGCAAAGTCTCGGGCCATCATTTTTGCAGATCTTAATAACCAAGGCGTAACGTACGACATGTTTCCCGCCTCAGTGTAATGATATAGTTGTGTCCCGTCCACATGATACATAGTGTAAGGGCGTATCGCGCCGAGACGAGACACGCATGACTTCAGATTCGTTCAAAGCCGTATCAATTATGATCTATATGCATATCTGTGTATATAACGCGCAGGATAAGCTAGGCCGCTGTGCTATGGAATCCAATGCAGTTCTATTCATCATTACTCATTAAATTAGTTAGTCTTCAAGTTGCCCATTCTGCCCACTTGCGACATTCGACCCGTCTGTGCTGGGCATCTTCTTCATGAATTAAATTATGACGACTCATCCGTTAGAGGAACGGGTCGCCGGAGAGGGTGGGCTTCCGTATTAAAGACAAACTCGTCTAGGCTTATTAGGTCTGGTGATGAGAAAGTTAGGTAGAGATACCGAAGAGTCTCGGCCAGCCAAAAACTCTATGCGAGAATTAGCAAATCAATCATCATAAATGGTACATGCGGTCGAGAAGTATACTAACCTCCATTGAATTAGACTTAACGGTATTAGTCACCTTAACAGACTGGATGGATGAAAACGCCAAGTCCGTCTCGGTAGCGTTGCGAATCGCTTGGAACATCGTCCAAGCCATGTCCTGATAGTCGGCATCGCCTGTCATGCGGTACATGAGGAAGACGCTCTCGACAGCCTCTGGTCTCAGGAGGTAACGGGGGTCTTGCGCGTCTACAAACCCCGGCTTCAGACTTGTATCACCGACTATCTCCCATTCTTCCTGGTTCCATTCGCACGGCTCCAGGGTCTCGCAATCGAGAAGGTCGAAAATCTCGGGCATGATGCCGGCCGCCATTGCGTCGTACGCCCATACACACCCCTTTGTGAGCTTCTCACCCATCGTGACGTGCTCCGGGATCTCAAAAAGCTTGCCACCTAGCCCAAACATACCGCCGACGAAGCATGCGAGATGTTGAGATTGAGCGGTCAGTCGCGGTCCCTCGTCCGAGGACCAGACATTGCCCGGAAATAGAATGTCTGCTTGATCGGGCAGCTTGGGCCGATATAATACGTTCTTGATGACCGTAGCCATCGCCCCGCGGTACAGTTTTTCGTACACCGGTTCGAGGCCACCTAGTATAGCGAATGTTTTGGGAAGATATTCGTAAATACTATCGGAGAGTGAGCCTAGCGAGAACGTGTCGCCGTCTAGCGATATGTTTTGCAGGTTAAAATAAATTGGCCACATTCCCGGAAGCTGTGTCTTGTTCTGCCAGTCGTCCAAGACCTGAGTCACCCTGCTTATCGCATCATAGTACTTATTGTCCCCCGTCAATTGCGACAGGCGGGAAAATTCCAAGGATGACGACGCGACGGCGGCTGATGAAACATGGCTGCCGGCGACTTGTTTTCCTGTCTTGGCGTCCTGGAAGACCAGGTAAAAGCTGGGCATGCGATTCGGGGTATCATATGTCATATAGAGCATGTCACCAAGCTCGATGGCCTTCTCCAGCAACGCCGTCTCCTTGCTCAAGTCGTAGGCGCCGAGTAAACCACCGAGGTGCCGTATGGTGGTTTCGAAGTAGTTGCAGGACGTGTCCTGAGACTTGGAATAGTCAATCTTGACGGCAGCGGCGACGGCCTCGTGAAAATCGTCCATGAGATCCATTATCCAGAGCGTCGACAGAGAATCGACGAGGGTGGCTCCCCAGCCCCCAAAGCCAGCCACATCATTTCCCCCTCCAGACACGGGTAGGATCTCGTCATACTGAAACCCAACCTTTTTGTAGCTGTTCCAACTCTTTACAAAGGCTGCCTTTACCTCGCTACGCCGTGACGCTAGAACAGCCTCCCGCGCGACGCCCTCAGCACTCTTATCTTCCGTAAAAGTATACTGGACTTGAGGTAACGACCGGGGCCGGCCGGTCGGCAATGGGTTGTATTCGGAGACTGGATAGAAGATCTTCTGCTTGGACCAGTCGTAGCTATCGTGCACATAGGCGAAGCCCCAGAGCACCTTGTGTTTCTCGGGAACGAGACCGACGAGGAGGTACAGCAGGGCGATCAGCACCAGCGCGATAGCGATGCGCGACTTGCGACGGAATATGGCGGTTATGGCGTCGTAGGGCTGGTTTCGGGTCTGCCAGGCGACATCTTCGGCGAGCATGGGCAGAGGCAAAGGTAGAGGTCCTGCTGGGTTGGCGCTGGCGCTGGCGTTGGCAGCTGAGGTTGATGCAGCTCGGGGAGTCGTCTCGAGTTCGAGTCCCCGCGCAAACCTCTGGACGGGCTTCTGGCTCCAGCTCCTCCCACAGTGTCGTCGTATCGACTACTGGAAGATGGATATTTCCAGTGCATCGATATGGGATATTATGATTATGTATGATGATGTTATGAACGCCGTGGATAAAAATATCTCGCGTAAGTCGAGGGAGGAATGCAGCTGGGTACACCAAATGGCTCATACGTAAAGCCAAGAGAAGTGATCCTAGATGAGACAAGCTAGTTGGATGTGCTGTTGGATGGCCAAGACATTCCAGGCCAGGGGAGCCATGCTAAATTATAACGCGCATAACACGCTAGAGGAACACCAGGCTAGTGTATTATAGCGCCCAAGTCTTCTGTATCTCAGCGCCCTCCACCCTAGCGACTACACTACTAGACCTACATATGTACTTAGGTATAACGAAGAGCAACCCGAAAACAGTCCTTCTCGTAGCTAGATGCTGAAGGACTAGATACCTAGGTATTTATTTATTTGAAAGCCAAAATAAAGGTCATTTTAATTTGGATGATTATCATTTTTTCGAGCCGTCGAGCCGTTATGTTGTTCATGAATATTTGATATACGGCTCTTTCATAAACTTTCACTCACATGCGCGCTGTGGAAATTCACCATTTGGCGGTTGTTCAAGGTGACGCCCGCCTATCTTGTGCACAGCAATACATACGGATGACCAACTTTCATAGCTAGCATACCTACAAATTAGACCGTCATCGCCTCCCCACCAAAGAGTCATGATTAATACAGCACCATTGACATGTATGCAAGAATTAAAAGCATGAAGCAAGTGCCTATCGGCCCTGCGTCTTATGTCTTTTTCATCCCAGCTGGTTGTGGAAATATGATACCGTGATACGCCGCCATTGTCATGAGTCGGGCGAATGGTCTAGGGGTATGATACTCCCTTCGCATGTCTGAGATTTCTCAGAACCAGTGACTGGGAGGGGTCCGGGGTTCAATTCCCCGTTCGTCCAGCTTTTTACTTCGTTCGTTTTGATATCCCTTTTTTTAATTTATCCTTCATCAATGCACACGCTATTGTGTTCAACCAGGCTAGATCTGCTTGTTTGGAGAAATGGATGATGGTGAGTGATGTAGGCGGTAGCTGACCGTCACCTACTCAAAATTCTTGTTATTGAATTCTTCAAGTTCTGTTGCATTATCTCAAATTTGCTCCTCTTTTCCTCAACATTCTCCAGAACCCATTGCACAGCGGCGACGACGGCATCCGGGCGGTGTCGGATCACATGGTGCCCGCAGCCCGGGAGAGACACGAAATCATTCTTATTCGAAAGGCCAAGCTGTCTTCGCTTGAGCCGCTCGTCATTAGCATCCCACCTATGGTACATATCCCACTCTTCTTTAAGTTGCTGTTTCTTGATTGCGATGTTCATGGTTCCGGCTTGGGAGGGGGAGTTCAAGGTTTGCTCTCTGTCCTCTAGCTCCCTCCGTTTCTCGATAAGAGTGTTCCCCCTGATGACGCACACGGGGCGATTCCCCATGATCTTGTGGCGGATCTGCTGCTCGTCGAGCCTCGGGTCGAGACCGCCCTCCTGCCCGGTCTCAACGAGCACCAGGCCCATCACCCGGTCGTTGGGGTATTTCCTTTTCTGCGACTGCGGGAATTTGTGTAGATGCTGTACGAATGCACGCGCAAAGGCGCCGCCGTAGGAGTGCGCGACGAGGAGATAGGGGCCTTTTCCCCTATACTCGCTTTGGCTTGCACTTTCATCTCTGATATTCTCATGTCTAGACCTTCGGTGATCAGCTTCGTGTAAGAAATCCCATATCTGCGCCGCGACCTCCATGGGCTGTTGGTTCCCCGGCGCACGGTTATAAAGCAGCACGCCACAGGGTGTTTCATCCCTGAGTCTCGTGGCCAGGCCATCCCAGTTCGGAGAACACGTCTCGCCTGATCCGTGGAAGCAGATAATCAGAGGAGTTCGGACCCCTTCGCCATAGACATATCGGCCCGTGGCTCTGTCGTCGAATACCTCAGGTATGGGCTCCAACTCGGTAACTGTGACTATCGGATCATGATGCGATGATGAAGAGCTAGGGTCTGCCATAGCTCGAGTTCGAATCAGTATGGGCCGCTTACTTAGGCTAGCAACTTCGGCGCCCGCCTTCGACTTAGCGAATCGTAATCTTCCTCGTAATCTTCCCGGAACGAACAATAATTACTTGACATAGCCCAGTCGCAAACCCCATTCCTGACAATGATATTGACCTCGGGGAGAATTAAGTAGGCGCCAGCATGGTGGTAACTAGTTACCTACATCCCGCCACTCCTTATCAAGTTAGACATTGAAAACAAGGCGGAAGGTATACAGAGAATTGGCATGTTGTTCGAGAGTGTGACGCGGTATCAAGTTGAAGATGCAGTGCCAGGTCAAGACAGTCTAGTTAATTCTAGGCAACAGCTTACCTAATCTAGCGTGATTCGTATTTCGTCTCTTGTTACTGCTATCAACTTGCTTAAATTAAGTTGAATCAAGTCTGAAAGTCATACATGCATTGTTAACCAACATGACTGTTAAAACAACATTTTTAGTCCGTGCTCTCCTTTGCATTACATAACTACCAGTATCCTATTAAATATCACCACATCGTACGTAGTAGCTTCAAACATACTCAAACTTGTTACCTATCACTACATCAGCTAAGTTTATAGTTGAGTTACAAATATCACGGGTACAGTTTCGGCAACGCCTCCTTTCCACAAATGCATGTCAGCTGTTGTAACCATGTCCGTAAACCTGCCAGTTACTATTTTCATATGCTCTTCATTCTCGAAATAGCTTGATGTTTGGTGTAGTATGAACTTGGAGCCACACACGCGATTGCATGATAGTAACACTAGGGTTGTATCTTTTCTCATGAGGCGATTCACGCATGGGAACGCAACCACAGGCTGAAGATGATACTCGTTCGGGTACACATGTGCTGAGGATCAGAGAATTATCAGCGCACGTATGATATCCTTTTGGTTCTAGGTATATAATTAGATGATTAATTCTAGCAGTGACACCTACGGCTTTGAAGTAACCTGTGATTACAACAACGAACTTGTTCGTAGCTATACTTCCATGGAAACGAAATCGTAACCACAGGCCACATTTTCATCACCATCATATCTACTAATATCATAGCCCTAGCCCTAAGTAATCGCAAATCTAAGTCAGTAATAGGTGAGATATTACCGTAAAAGAGCTAAGTAATACTAAATTCCAGGGCGCAAAGCTCACGCCACGCCACGCGATGCTATGCTATGCTGTGTCTCCTCCCGTCACCAATAGGCAACAAGATGACCTGCAAAGCTGCGGCACTATCTATCCATAGCCGTCGTGGCAACTATGTCTGACACAGACACGGGCTGACAGTAGGTTCCACAGCGGCTCTTACAACACGGCCAACAGGTCAGTCAGTCTCACCATGAGGCAGCGCCGCAGGGGTGCGCGACGCGATCGTTCATGCCAAGCCTCGACGCGCTGCGGGGGAAAGGGTCGGGGGACGGGTGACAGAATGCGGCTTACGGTGTTCCCCTTGCCGTTCGTAAATTGCCATTTGCGGCTCGGAGGCGCTGCCATCTTTGAAGTCTGCGGTGGAAGAAATAACAATACCCGGACTCGGCTGTCGTCGTCCCTGGGACTCGCTCCTTTGGAGACACCGGCCGTACCGCTAAGTACGTGAAGTAGGAAAGGATCGGGGCGGCGAACAGGAGGAAGAGGTGCTGACATTGATTGACGATCGGGATTTCTCGCGTTCTTGCTCTACATGATAGACGCGCAAAAGGTGGGATGGCGCGCGGATGGACCTTGAGATACCACCTACCTACCTTACCTGCTGCCGATAGTCTCCCACATGCCGCAAAACCAAGCCTTTGCCAGATAATGGCTCTTCCGGCCAAATAACATCCTTAATAACCACCTTCCCCAAATCGATTTACGTCGATGGCGCAATTGGAGAACCAAGACGCATCTGATGCAGTGCTCTATTTTATCCGTATCGCCATTCGCGCATCATTCCGACTGTATAATCGACCAAGCCTCGATCCTGCCTTGGTATGAATAAGTACCTATGTCGTGACGGCGATTCACGGGAGCGGGACCGAGACCGAGGACTTGGGTATAGTATGTATGTTCTTTTGTCCGACGACAAGAACGCCATAGTAAGCAGTGCAACCCTTGGGGCCTGGGAGCTGAGCTGAAGTCGTGCGTGTAATAGTTATTGCGCCAATGCCGTTTGCAAGCTAGGCGCAAGTTCCGCAGTCGCCCGATGAGCTGGCCTGCAAGCCAAGAAAAACCCAGGGTCCCTGTGCATTCACCTCCGCCTCGACCCGATGACTGCTCTGGAGCGACAGTTCCACAACTTAAGTTTCGAAACAACATTGGTCATGGGTCGATGTAGCAATCTAATACCGCATCGGCTACCCCTCATGATGACGAGGCCTTTCATTTAAATGGAAGGAATGTGACACACGAAAGATAAGAAGCTAGTATTGAATGTTCATAGAATATGATTATGCATTTAAATCGTGGGGGTATATCCTAACCAATGCGCCTTCTATAAAACATCATCTCAGCCCGTAGTTTGGCTACATAGTAATCCTTGAACGCCCAATGCTTGCTTTTCCCTAGACCAAACCACCCATGCCGTAGTGCTTCATCCAAAAACACGACGCCGAACTGATGCAAAAAATCATTAGTTGTCGCTCAGGCCCTAAATCCATTCCATGAATACCCTCCGAGCCCGGTCGCACAAATTAAAGGCCCCCCATCAAATCCAATGTGGTTGGTCAACCATCCTGGTTTCGATGAGAAATGAGGCTTGTTACAGAATCACCTAAACCCAGGAAATAGGGTTAGTGCAGCACGCTTCCCTAGAAGGAGGTCAGACGTCTCGACGACATGGCATGATGATGGTGGGGGGGAGCTGACATTGAGGCCTTCCATCATCACTGCTCGTTTCGTCTATGGGTATGATCAGCTCCTGCATCCGTTCTCTTGTAGTGCCCGGCGCGGTGGGCTGTTTCTGCAAGGGAATCGACGTTGTGAGCTCTGTTGCCGTCGGCTCTTCCCCATGTGTAGGCCTACTCTCAGAACCGCCTCTAGCTAACAATTGTTGCCATCCACTCCCGAAGCCAGCCCAAAGGGGGCGCCGCGACCTGAGTCTGCGGGTGCTGAGCTCTCTCCGGACCATCGAGTTCGTAATCCTAGGACAGTGACCCCGGGGATACATCGACGCCTTGCAGAGGGGACATAACGAACTCATCTCGCTTAAAAATTCATCGATGCATTCGGGATGGAATATGTGACCGCAAGAGAGTTCGCGAATAATCGTTACTTTCGATTCGAAATTGTCTAAGCAAATCAGGCACGTTGGTTGATAGTCTAGTCGGTCAGTAGGCTTTCCTCGGATGTGACTGGAAGACGGCGAAGCCGAATCGAAAGAGGTTCTTCCCGGTGATAACAGAGATCTTGGCGAATTCAGCGACGAATGCATGGGAGCCGTGTAATTGTATGTGAATAAGGGGTAGGTTTGAATGTGGGCGAGAGGCACGGTGAGTCGTTTGATCCCCAAGGCTTCTAGATTTACCTCGCCATTCATGACACGACGGCGCAGGGAGGCTCGCCGGCGGTTCTGGACATAGTGCATGAGCAACGACGTTCCGCCGATGACAGTCACAATCACGGCTAGAATAATCAACACAAGAGCCCAGATGGCCAACAGCGAAGGATCAGGTGTCACAGACAACTGTGTCCAGACCCGCACATAGTCCGCAGGGTCCGGGGAATACGTATTGTTGATTTCCTCGGCGTAAGGAACCTCGGATAGCGCTCCAGAGTACAAACTGAGTTGTTGCATCATGCGGTTTCCGGTACCACTAGAAACTGCATAAACAGGGAAATGGCTCCTCTGCTTCCAGCCTCGACCCGAGTCTATTTTCCATAGATCCGACTCAGGCTCAGGT